AAAAAAAAAAAGTTGATATTTTCATTTGATCTTTCAGTTTAGGAAAATTCATCTTAAAAGGTCTTCCTATTTGTCTCATTTCAAGTAGTCCACATTAAAGCTTACAGAGGACGATTTACTTGCCCATTGGCAGTCTTCACAAAATATCTTATTACTTCAAGGCCTAGGAAACACATTAACTAGAATTTGAAAGTTCCCAACGTAACCTTTAATATTTTTAATGTTGACAACGCTATCATCAAACCCAGCTTCTACTCATACAAAGAGCAGGGTAAATGGGCATGTGATCTGATATCTACTCTTACAAAGACAAATACTGCAAATCATAATATGCCTTGTCTTTCTAAGTTGATGAACTAGTTATGGATATTATTAAATTCAGTTTAACTTGCATTTGGAATTGTAAGAAAAAATATACTAATTCTCTAGCATGCATAGATCATTTTTAGCAAAACTTTAAGCTTAAAAAGTTTTTGTATGTTGTCTCCATTATATATTTGTTTGGCAGCATAATTTTCATGATATATTGGTACAAGGATATCATTTGTTATCAAGATTCGACAAAGTTTGTCGTTTTCCTAACAGAACCCTCCTCTTCTTTTATCTGAGCTTGGAACTAGCTATGTAAAGATTTCCAACCTAAGCACAACAGGTGGAGAGGATAGCCAAATTATTAGATGTAGAGGAAAGACTAGGAAAAATTCTGAGTAAAACCGTCAAAAAAGATTTATACTGAAATAGCCTCTTTGAAAAATTGGTTTCTGACAAAACACAATGGCCATGTACCCGACTCCACTTAGTTGGAAAAGGCTTTGGTGGCTGTTGTTGTAGCCTGTAGGTACAAAGATATGATAGTTTCTACTTACTTTAATCTGTCATACACCTAATTTATAATTGAAAAATGTTATTTATTGAAAATTTTCCTAACTGTGGCAGAAATCCAACATCCTGAGTAGACAATCTTTTGTTTGCTTAGACCTTCATCATACCATGTTTATGAAAAAAATTTCTGTATTAGAAAATTGTTATAAATTATTTGTTATCCTGATCCTAAGAGAGAGGGACATAGATCTACAATCATGAATTAAGCCGATTCATTGTTCCCTTAAACTTATCCTCATCTTTCCTGTTCTGATGGTGATCAGAAATTACGATTAAGAATTGAGGATCCACCACGTAGGAAGCACATGGTGTACCTCGGAGGTGCTGTCCTTGCAGGAATAATGAAGGTTTGAGTTAACTTTTTAATTTTTCGGTTATTCTCTTTCTGTAGCTCATCTATATTTGTAGCTGTGGAAGCTGTTGGATTATTTTCCCAATTTGAAAAATCATCATCTAAGAAAGTTAAACTGTGGTTGTTAAAACCCAGGATGCACCAGAGTTTTGGATTAACAGGGAAGATTATCTAGAAGAAGGAATTTCTTGCCTAAGCAGGTGTCGCCAGGCATGACTTTTTGAGGTCCGTGACCACATTCAAATTGGGAGATCATTTTGGGAAAACACACCAGAGGCTCAGTGATGAATATTCAAAGCTGTTAAAACTGCCTCCAACAATAGCTTGAGTTAATTGTTGTTAGCCTTGTATAGCTGTCCTAAAAGCTAATGAAGGCTAGTTGTAATAGTACATGCAGTCATGTTTATTGATTGGTACGACAAAAGAATTCCTGTTGTATCTTTGTTGGCATAAAAACGGTGAATAAAAGAATACATCCTCTGTAAATTTTAAAAATGTTCTATGTCCGTTTTAATTTGTTGAAAGAGCTTGTCGGCAATGGCCAAGTAGATGGATTACATAATCCATATGAGGAAAATATTGTTGCTTTTGTGTGCATTTGCTTTAGACCTCATAAGCTTTGCTATAATATGAGCCAAAACATGCTTATTTGGCGGTCGCTGTCTAAAGGTCAAACTTTGTTATACCAACAAGATACATATAGGGGTCGATGTCCACTGCATTTTTCAGTACCCAGGTAAGTGTCAGTTATACAAGTTTGCCATTTCTTGTTTATCTTAAGAGATTAATGTAGGGGTCGATGTCCACTGCTTTTTTCAGTACCTAGGAAAAGAAAGTGTCAGATATACAAGTTTAGTATTTCTTGTTTATGTAATTGTAGTTGACTGCAACCTCTGAATGAAGTTTTTATTTCTGGGTTACCAGCCTTTGTTAATGAGCATGATCAATTACACCTAACCAAGTTGCTTATAAGATAATATCCGTGTTGCACAATGAAAACAGCTTGCAATGTCATAAAAGTCACCAACGACCCTCCAACTTTCGTTGACTTTCTAATACTTGATCTCGTTCTTGTATTGTTTTCTCATCTTCTGGATTAGGGACTCATGGATAGGAAGCTGGATTAGAAAATTAAAACTAGGATTGTTTGTTGCAGGGTTCAAATAATTAGAGACATTGGATTACTCTTTGAAAATGGGAACCAGGGGATCAGTTTCTATGAATTTCGTACAGGAAAAACACATTGAGTAATGGAAGCTAGCTAGAAACAAAATGGGCCACCTCAAAATATTTTGGTCTTAGGTGGATTGGAATATATTTTAGGTTTTGCTTGTCATTTTCAAAAATGAATTAGTTCTCTAATTTACTATTTTTTTTTTTCTTTTTTTGCATGGTCCTTCTATTACATCTCCAGTAAAAGTAGTTATTTGCTTGAGTGGGGAATAAGCATATTATGTGGATCTAATAGACGTGGACATATACATTAAACGAAGAAAAAAAAGGAAGGACTAGAGCAATAAATGGCTATATTTAAAGGGACTAAAACAAAAAAGTTGCTATATTTAAAGGGAATAAATACAAATTTAGTTTGGATCTTGCTTATCAATTAATACACTAAACAGAAACTTTTTTCCTGTATATAATTTTCTTCAATACAAGAACTTTACTTCTAAACAAAATGTCTTTAATTTATAGTTACTAACACTCCTATAATACAAAATGCAACCCAAAACATTGAAGATCTTTACTACCCAGTTCATTAACACAAAACTCATTTTCATCAAACTATCGCCTAGCCACCTTATTCATAGCTTCCACGCAACAAAGATTACTACAATTATGAACTCCGTGTCTCTATTTTGTGGCCCTGGAAATAAGTCATTAATAGCAAACATTAACTTCACCCATTGTACCTTAAGTCCACCTTTTTACGACATCACATAATATCTACTGCCATAAGCTCATAAAAATTTCCTTGTACCTCTTTCATAGAGGTGAAGAGAAGGACTATACTCGACCCAAAACATTATCACTATGAGCCAAGGTGATGGGTTCTGGATTGATAACTTGTTTGAAGGCAGGGTTTCTGGGTTGAAGAAAACCCTATTTAGAAATAGAGTTTTTAGGTTGAAGAAATTATGTACAAGATTAGAGTTTTTAACCATGTGTTAATGATGACTAAGTCTCAAATTAAATATGTCTTCATTACCTGAAAAAATAACAACTTTTTGGTTTCAGTCATTTTTTTTTAGTTTAATGTCCATATCAAAACTCATTAAATCTACATAAGATACTTATCCTACATATAGTATTCAACATAGCCTTACAACAACAATATTTATTCGAGATATATCAGAACAACTATATGGAAGATTTTTTATTTTTTTTAAAAAAAAAACTTGTTCGTAGAATTTTAAAAATAAGGGACCAAAACTTAATTTTCTTGGCAGGGAAAATGTGCCAAAAATTCATAAAGATTTTATTGGTGCGTTAAATAGATTGAATTAGGCATTTGTCTAGGAATGCAGTAGGACGTTACTTAAGAAAGCAAAACTATAAAATATTATATATAAAACATGAGAAAAATGTTTCTGCAGTTATTGCAGATAATTTATCTGCATTTACTCCCAAAACGCCATCGTTTTGGTATTGAAATATTAAAAAATTATAATTATAAAGACTATTATAACTCTGAAATAAATTAAAATTATAAAAATACTTTAATTTTTGTCCCAAAACAATGTCGTAACTACAGACAAAACAAACCCATAAAACATATAATATTTTAAGAACATAAAAAATATATAATATATTTTTTACTAAGAAAATAGAAGTATTAATAAAATGTATTAAGTGTGTATTTGAATTATCTTATTTTATGACAAAATAATATATATATAATCAAAATTTTATTATAAACTTCTTACAAATTTTTTTTTTTTTCTAAAAACTAATCTAAATTAAATATGCATTAAGTACTTTTTAACAAATGCCTTCAAAGAATTTGATAGCAGTACTTAAAAAATACCCAATCATATAACTTTTCAGTTCACTGCCAAAATATGATGATGTGAAGAAGGAACAATGTTTGTTTTTTTTATTTTATTTGGGTCATTGGGGAAGAAACAACTAACTAAGCAAAATATTAGGTTAGCAAATTTACCAACTACACCAAACAAGCCCATTTCCCCTGCTTCTTCTGACCAAGTTCCTCTTGTCTTTGGTCTCTTTACTAGTGGCCTACCCTCACCCATAGTATTCAAAAAGGGTGTAAAAAAAAAAAATAAAAAAAGAAAAAAATAAAAAATTCAAAGAAAATCAAGTGTCACCCTTCTAAAGAGTCCACGTTTTGTAGCTTGAACCGTTGTCTAAAAACAACTACCTCTCACCTTCACATTATATTTATTTTCAGCCATTGCTATATTTTGAACATTCATATCCTACATATATAGCAACTTCTCTTAAAGAGACTCATCATACCCATATCATATATTGTGTGAGGGAAATTAAACCAGGTATGAGAAAACACAACCCAACCCATGTGTTCCTAATGATATTTTCAAATTTCAACATTGCATGAAACTTTGATAATGGCCTCTTTTTTCTTCTTCTTTCTTTTATCTTTCTCACATGGTTCTCATACTTTAAACTTCATAAACAAACAAAGTACCCCTCTTGGTTGTTTCCATTTACTCATCACAATTGTATTGTTTTTTTTTTTTTTTATTTTTTATTTTTATGATATATACAGGTTAAGGAGTTTGAGATGGAAAAGGCTTATGAAAATGGTTTCCAACTTAGCGTGAAGCTAAGTGAACCAACTCTAGTTCCTCCTGCAGAAGAAACAAAGAAAGGCATGTACTTCCTATCTAACCTTGACCAGAACATTGCAGTGATTGTCCGAACTGTTTACTGCTTCAAAACTGCTGAGAAAGGAAATGAGAAAGCTGTGGAAGTGATCAAGAATGGCTTGAAGAAGGTTCTTGTTCATTATTACCCTCTTGCTGGGAGGTTGAACATAAGCTCAGAGGGTAAACTCATAGTAGATTGCACAGGTGAAGGTGCCCTGTATGTTGAGGCTGAAGCAAACTGTTCAATGGAAGAGATTGGTGACATCACAAAGCCAGACCCAGGGACTCTTGGTATGCTTGTTTATGACATTCCTGGAGCAAAACATATTCTTCAGATGCCTCCTTTGGTTGCCCAGGTAAGTTTTTTGAGTGTGTCTTGGATCATGTTTAATATTAATGCAAACCTTGAGTAGCTTTATTTATTTATTTATTTATTTATTTTGGTACATGACCCCAGGAGTTTATAAGCAAATAATGCATAAGTTTAGCTCTGAAACCACTCCTTGTTAAACCCCAACTAGTAAGGATTAGGATGATATCATCTTTATGCGCAACTCTACCTTTACATATTTGCAAAGAAATTGTTAGTGGATTTGAAATTGTAACTAGCATTTATAAAGCTCTATGTAGGAATTTTTGTATGATAAACATGTGGCAGTCATTTTGAAAAAGGTTCACCCACAGCTGCAAAGCATTACTGACTAAAACGTGTTTAGGTTTGTAAATGTTTATCAAAATAGTACAGCTTCATGTTCTCATTCCAGGAGTAGTCTGCTTAAGCATAATATCTCTTAAGCGTTTCATTTTCTCCTTTTCCTTGTAATTGGGATAAACAATCAATTCCTTCTTATTGAGAAGGCTGAAAATGAATGAAGAGATGGTCTCTCTCTTTGCATTGAGTATTGCAGTTTTGAATTGTCAACTCTATATTTCAGGTGACTAAGTTTAAATGTGGAGGCTTTGCTCTTGGGCTGTGCATGAATCATTGTATGTTTGATGGCATTGGTGCTATGGAGTTTGTGAACTCTTGGGGAGAAGTAGCCAGAGGCCTACCTCTCTCTATCCCTCCAAGACTAGACAGAAGCTTACTCAAGGCACGCAATCCACCTAAGATAGAGCATCTGCACCAAGAATTTGCTGACATTGAAGACAAGTCCAGCACCAATAGCTTCTATGAAGATGAGATGGTCTATAGGTCCTTCTTTTTTGATCCTGAGAAACTGAAGCAACTGAAGATGAAAGCTATGGAAGATGGGGCTCTTGAATCTTGCTCAACTTTTGAAGTCCTCTCAGCATTTGTATGGATAGCTAGAACCAAAGCACTAAAAATGTTACCAGACCAGAAAACAAAGCTCCTTTTTGCTGTTGATGGAAGGGCTAAGTTTAACCCTCCTCTTCCAAAAGGGTACTGTGGAAATGGGATTGTGCTAACAAATTCTGTGTGTCAAGCAGGTGAATTAGCAGACAAGCCCTTCTCATTTGCTGTGAGACTCATTCAAGATGCAATAAAGATGGTCACAGATAGTTACATGAGATCAGCTATAGATTATTTTGAGGTGACAAGAGCTAGGCCTTCTCTAGCTTGCACCCTTTTGATCACAACTTGGTCAAGGTTGTCCTTTCATACCACTGATTTTGGATGGGGAGAACCTGTTCTGTCAGGGCCAGTGTCATTGCCAGAGAAGGAAGTGATTTTGTTCCTTTCTCATGGCCAAGAGAGGAGAAACATCAATGTGCTTCTTGGTTTGCCAGCTCCTGTCATGAAGATCTTCCAAGATTTGATGCAGATATAATAGGGTCATACATCTTAAGTATATGATTCTGTTGTTTCTTACTATATGATTCTGTCATTTCCTAAAAGAAGAGAGACTACTTATTCTGTTTATGAATTTATTGGTACTAATCAATAATTTAAGTGTTCCTTATATTTTATTTAAGTTAATTTAATTATATGGAAAACTTTATGCAGTTGGAGAAACGTTTTGGTGTTTTCTAGGGTGAGAGAAGTATTCCCCTAGAATTAGATGTTTATTATATTTGTTTAGGTAAGATAATAAGCCCCCTTAGCTAATCTAGATTTCTCTAATCGATGAAAAACGCAATCCAGCATAAATTTCTTTATATGCAATTCCAAACCAACATCTTGACTTGAGTCAAACTAAGCTGGAATTGAAGTTTATTATAAAATTGACTGCAATTGATTTGATTCATGCTTTATGTATAAGTTTAACAAATCATATTGAAAATTTGATTTAAATCTATTGCACTGCTAAATATGCTATATTGGATTGTTCTAGATATATGTAATGTAATGATGAAATGGGTGCAGTAATTTTTTTTAATCAAGATTATACATGCAGTAGTCTAATTATTTCTTTTTCTCATTTAATTTAAAGAAATAATTTTTTTTTAATCTAATTATTTGTTTACGAAAGTGTGAGCATATTAACACATCATCTATAAATTATTTAGTAGTTTATTAACTAAGCATTAGATCAATAAGTTGTGGGTCTTTTAGTTCAATTATGCATCCTTGATTGGGATTGTGCTACTCATCTCATGAATCACAAAGAAATCCTGGGATGAAAAAGGAGAATTAAGAAAATCTACTTATCAAATATCAAAATTATATATTTTCTTGCAATATTTTAGAGGATTTACCTTTCTTGTATATTAACTTTTACCATATAAAATAAGGGTTTTGATTTTCTCATGCATTAGGAGATATGTATCTCATGCTATAAACACATCTTCTGTGGGATTTACATTTATTAAAAAAAAATACTATACGAAAATCGAAGAGTCACTAGTAGGAGAGAACAACTTACCTACAATATGAGAAAATATTTTCCCATAAAATAATGAGAAAAATATTTCTGCAGTTACTGCAGATAAGTTATCTGCATTTACTTCTAAAATGACGTCGTTTTGGAATTAAAAGATTAAAAATTCATAATTATAAAGACTATAAAAATCCTGAAATAAATTAAAATTACAAAAACATCATGATTTCTGCCCCAAAACAACGTCGTATTGAACTTACTGCAGATAACTTATCTGCAGTAACTGCAGAAAAAGCGAACCCTAAAATAATTATATAGTGTAAGAAGCTAGGTTGTCTTTCGATTTGTTATATCAATTGTTTATGGGATGCTGATTAACTTTTGGTTAATATGATTTCCTCATGTCCTATAGTTTTAGAAAGTTATATTTATAATCTCTTTTATCTTGCAACCTCTTACAATCATTTTTATTATTATTGGATCAAAATCAAATCAACAATTATAAAATGACAAATGAGAGCTGTTAATTTGATTTTGATTCAATGATAATAAAAAAACTTATAAAGCAAAAGAGATTGTGAATATAATTTTTCTCATAATCTTAACTTATAAAAATAAATGTATTTACATGACCATACATATGGGATGCTTGTTATTTTTTTCTCAAACAATTATTATCAGATATCAATAATAGCTAATAATATTCGGGTTCAAAATATTGGAAGATGAATTATGTGTGTCAAATAAAGTATTATTCGGGTATTCAGAAAGTCAAAAAACTTCAGAATTTTTTTTTAAATATTATGAACGTATATTAAGTTGAGAGTAAATTACAAAGTCAAAACTCTCTATAGCTTAATGTGAAATGGAAGACTTACCTTATGCATTCTTCCTTCATTCCTTCTGGCTCAGGAGTCCTTAACGACCTATCTGCAGCATTTAAAGTGACCAAAACTTGTTTAGAACTGGAACAGTATTTTTTTTTAATTTTTTTTTATATATATTCACCACTGATTTATTAGTTATTCGACTAATCTGATTCAAGTAGTGTTGGACCTATTATAAGAGCAACTCTCCTAATATCATTTTCTCCATTATGAGGCTCCAACTTGAAATTTTTGGTTAAGAGTAATAAACTACCTACCACTAGAACCAATAATTCTTGATTAGAACAGGAGCAACATAGTTAGGAACAAAGTTCTATATTTGACAATTGACAGAAACAAAATTCTCGAACTCATAAATCTAATTAAAGGGTATCTCAAAAATTGATCTATTGCATCACTAGCATTGGGGAAGTATGTGAATGTGGGGTTGGATGATGTCCCTTTTGACATGCTGCAAGTGCTTGGTGTCTTGGCTAGATGACTTAACTCAACAGGGGGAGTAGCATTAATATGTTAATGTGCATAATAAAATCCTGTTGAAACACACAATTATCTTGGTGGTGAACTTCTTCCTATATATTGATGGTTTACATGTATGTTATTCTAATTTTCTATGACTATTGATTGGTTTACAGAAAAAGGTTTCAGATGTTAATGCAAGATTTTTGTGAGTTTGGGTTGTTGCTAAGCAAGTTTCACGCCTTAGTTCATTGGTTGAGATTCTTGGGAAGGGAATCTACATTTAGGCTCTAGGCTTACCTCATTTTCTGATTTGGGGATTTTCTGATCACAAGAAGCATGTGACTTTCACGTGATGCTCTAAGTTTAAGCTTAATGGAGTAGAGGGAGCACTATTCTTAGTTTATTTCCCATCTATTAGTTATGAAGATATGAAGTAGTTGTATGAATTCTAGTAGCCCTATTTAATATATATATATATATATATATATATATATATATATATATATATATATATATATCAACCTAAGAAATTGTTCACTATATATTGTCTTTTTCTTTTGATTAGGTAGTAACCTTTCACTAACCCATCTCCATCTTTATTCTAGTGGTTAATAAATGAATGGGGTTTTATAAGTATTTATACTCTTGGATTTATTGAGAAGTTGCTATAAAATAATATTAAACTAATATTTGGTAAAAATATGAGTAAAAATGCTAGTGTGGATTTCTTTACACTACTAAAACTGAGCGGTCAAATAGTTTGAGATTTCTTAGTTGTTTTATCATAGTTATATTATTTTTCTCTGTTATCTTTCTTATATTTAAAATAAAATAATAATAACGATAAGTTATTATCACATAAAAAAGGAAATAAATTTTATGTTATTTACATGAGTATATTATTTCTCTTACAAACTTGAGATAACTTTATACACACATAGGAGTGGGTAGGGTCATTTGAGGAGGAGAGAGGAAGAAAAAAAAAATGAATTTAAACTATTATATATGATCAAGAGATAAAATTATCTCGGAAATGGATTATTTCATGTCTTATTTAACATGACCATGTCATGTGAGAGGATTTTAACCATTAATAACTGTAATGATTTTGTAACTTTCTATCTTTATATTTTTTCTTCTCTTCTTTTATCATCACCGATCCACCTTTATATGGTTAAGATTTTCTCACATGATATGTTCATGTTAATTAACACATGAGAGGATCCACTCCCAATTATTTAATGTTTATAGGATTAATGTGAAATGCCACCCCTAATTGAATTAATTTATTGGTCTCATATTGTGTTTATATTATATCAACGGGTCATACAGTGAACTGCCAGCCCTAATTGATTTAATTTATTGGTCTCTACACTTTTTAAAAATGTTTAAATGTGTGCTTATAATTTAATAAACTATAAATGAATCCAAAAGTTTTAAAAACATTTTCAGTAGAGTCCCTGAATTCAGTATTTTTATGGCACATAGAGGGACCGAATTATTCATTATAGTGTTTGAAGCATAGGATCTATTTAAACATTTCTAATTAGCATAGGAAGGAAAGACTAATTTAACCATTAAAAATTCTCAAAAAACGTCAACCATTAAAAAACATTCAACAAAATATAACCGTTTTTTTTAAAAAAAAAAATCAAGTTTTGTTATAAAAAAAAAGCAAGTTCTATTTTGTTTTCCTAATTCTAATGAAGTTACAAAATTTGAAACTTATTATACAATCACTCTCGAAAAGGAGAATTTTAGCCAAAATCTTAAACGAGAAAATTATTGCATATCAACTTCAATGCATTTGGGAATTTAAGCAGAATTCATACTCTTTGTTAAGGGAAGGAGTGTTTATCAAGAAGGAATCTCTATATAATTGTTAGCCTTTCGGAATGTTGGGAAAATTTAACCTTTTTCTTTGACTCACATTACCTGCTTTCATTAAGTAATAAATAAATAAATAACTAACAAAGTTCTGTACAGTTAGTAGATAACTGAGTCCCTTAGACATGCTGATAGGAGTTCAATTTCTAGTTGTTTGTATAGAAAAGGCTTTCTTGGGAGAAACTATACCTACTTTGGCTATCTCAGGGCCTTGAGGGGGATTAGTCTTCGACTATCGCCTAGAGAATACCCTTAGGAAACCAAAAAATAAAAATAAAAATTTACCTTTTATCTTTTGATTTAAATCGCGGTGGCTGAACCGAAAAATCGATAACCGAATTAACCGAAAACTAAAAAATCAAAAATCGAAAAAGGGCATATTTTAATTGGATTGGGTCAATTTTCAGTTTGGTTGGTGAAAATCGATCCAATCTAAACAGATCCAATGTATTATATATTTATTATTTTGGAAAGATGGTGACTTGAAATATTATTATTTTATAGACTTGGATCTTGGATGTTATTGATAGCAAACTATCTTGTTTTAAATTTTTATTATCTATAATTTATTTTAACTCTTCATGAGTTTTAAGACTTGTTTTAGTTTGAAGACTTGAATTTTCGAGTAGTTTATAACTCTGTATGACTTTATTTTGATATAGCTAGTGATTTGTAGAATTGAAATTTTAGGCTTTTCGAAAAACCAAAAATCGATCTAATCCAAACTAAATAAAATTGGATTAGACTGGATTGGATTTAAAAAAAAATTCAAAC